TGAATCTCTTCACCCAACACTTCTACTCGAAATGGAAGTAAACTCAACAATTATGAAACAAGAGATTCCTTGAAACCCAACTTTTCTTCGTATATAACACGTTTCAACCATTCGGACAGACGGTTGTTCGCCGTTCAGCCCAGAAACACCGGCATCGACTGATCACCTCGACACTGTCGTCCGAACACTCGTCATACACACTCGCCGACTGGATTTGTGACGCACGTGTGCAGCCGTGCCAGCTTCAACATTCCATGGAGAATTGGTATCGGGGATCTGTAATGCCGGAGACTACGCCAGGTTACAAAAAAAGACAAAAGTGTTAGCCGGATTAGTCTGTCTTCAAGCAGCAGATCGAGATAAACCTCATCCTAGAATTCCTCCAAAATCTAGCGTCATTCAACCTCATCTACATGCATACAAACTTACACACGAACCCACAAGCACACACACACTTCTTGTTTCTCGCTAGTTGAGCAAGTTTATAGGCTCCCGTTTGTGTATTGAAATGGTTTTTGTCTTAGGGGGGCCGTTGTCTATGCAAAATTTCAGAATACACCCACATTTACTATCTTATATTGCCATTATCGACTCGGCCGGTTTCCGATATGCACCCAGATCATACGAGCCTGGTTGAATAAATTATGTAAAGACCTATCCACTTTTGATGGGATAAGTTTTGCTTTAGCCCTCCTCGACGTTCGATGCTGGGTCTAAGGGTCGCTTTGAAGACGGTTTCCTAGTCTCTAGTGCCGATTTTTTGCAGATCTTAACCCTTATCTGAATACAGTCCCATTATATATGCATCACATAACTTTGTCTTCTGAACTACGTGCTATTACTTTGCATTTGTGCATAGTTTTCCGCCTGCCTGTCTATCTACATGGATGTATGTGTGTACGTATGTATTAGTCTATATTTATGTGGAATTTAGGTGTGAATGGATATATTTATTTATGTCTGTAGGCAGATGGTTAGTCAAAGAAAGATATATATCTATATACAATTCATAGATATAATAAATATCATAAAATGTAGATATAATTTAACACTATCTGTAATAATCTATAATATTAATAAAATAACTGTTTTTTTCTGATTATTTGTTTACATGTGTGTCTGTTTATCCGTATTTTTTTCTACTTGTCTCTCTTTGCAGTTTAGTCTGAGCACAATCGTAAATCTTTCCGTTATAGTGTACTTTGGTCTTGTTTTAATTCTCTTAGTCTCTTTACTTCCTTGTTCGTCTAGCCGATGGCAGGGGAGGAGGACAAGTGCGTCTGCGACATACCTACCACGACGCTCGGCGTATCAAGGAGCCACTCGATGCCGCCTCAGTTGTCTACGAACCCAACACATACGAGAATGGTCCACTGAGCGGGATTTTTAATGCTGGCGGTGCTGGCCCGTCCTCGGGTATGTCGGAGACC